CTTGTTAGGAAGGTTTCCGTTAGTGCTATGACGGCGGCTGAACATGTAAGTACATTGTTATAGAATTTAGTAGTCTTAGAGCGTAGACCTCTAACATTTTGATAATAAAAGGGAATCCTATTTAGACAATTACTTTTTCCCATTGGCTTCAGTTCTGGACCGAAAAAGCTGCTTCCATGGTTTGATGCATATATTGGGCATCCAATTCTTGACATCTAATACCCACTCAGCCATCTGATAAGGAACTCCGAGTTTGGAACAAGCGTAGTTGCCATGCGCCTTCAGTTCATCTACAGTGCAATTATCGCTATTACAAATAGATTCAAGATGGTTCTTGACTTGATCAGCAGTAGCTGCCTGTTTTACATAATATAAATGAAAATATTTCCATCGGTCCGAAGCTTCAAGTGATGTAGAGCCATGCTTCGCTGTACCACGGAGTACCTGTGGTGAGGAGAATTGTGCACGCCGTCGTCTCACTTCAATCCAGTCCTCCTTCCCTTCGACATTAGTGTTACTCTCTGTAGCCACCGGAGAATTCCTTTTAGGAGATGGTATTGGAGTTGCAGATGACCCAGCTGGATCTGGCGATTTCCCAGACTTCTTCTTCGCAGTGTTTTTTTAACTTTTTTAACTGCCTCCTGATGCAAGTATTTTCACCACGGCATTACTTTCCATGTGGTTTGTTTTTGCACCTTGGTTATTTTTTGGTGACTTTTCTTTTTCGGCCTGCTGTATACCGGAATTGGAATGTTTATTATTCGCAATCTCTTGCAGTTTCAGCTCTTAAGGAGCTAATCTTATTATTTAATTTTTGAAATGAGACACGCAAAGTTGATTTAATGCAGACTTCAACAGCTTTGCTAATTTTATTCGTCAGGCGCTCTACAACTTAACCGTTCAATTCTTCACGGATCATAATTCTCACAACTTCCATGTACTGAGACACATCATCGATAGGAGTATGGATGGAACTAATATTAATGTCCTCGTTGAATTCCTTGGTCTTTCTTTGCCTAGTAGTGACGTTGTTTCGCTCGTCATCTTCACTATTAAATACAAGCAGAGATGAGCGTACTACTGGTGTGTTAGAATTTTCTTTCTTAGGCACCTACTACGACAGTCGGGGCATTTCCATTCATTCCTACGTTTAAATAAATAAATAAATAACGCACACACTCAACATAGTTGCGTTAGTCTTAAAAACTTTTCTCCTACATTGGCACAGAGCAGGTCATGTTTTCCACAAAGTGAACATATCAAAAAGTGGCTATCTGGTATTGCACTCCGACAACCGGCGCAGACTGGGTTTTGTGTATTCATCACTGTACGAAAATAGAACAGCTCACCTCTATCAATTATTGTATGGAAAATCTGGTCGGGGGGTCACCAACTCAATGCCATTGACTTACAGCTCTCGCGACATACACTGACGCATGCGTAACCGAGGGTATGCGGCGCACTCGGTTCCCACGTCGTTGCACCGCTCGCACCTCTTCGCCGCGGCGACACTGCTGGCCGTGCACTCAATTAAGCAGCGAATGTGTCGTAGGTCAGGGTCGTTGAGCCGTTAACTAAAACTTTGAAATATTTTCACTTATTTCTCAGCAATAAAAGGCGCATTTTAATACTGTTTTCAGCACTATCTCAACAAAGACACACACTTCAACTGTATAAAATGTATCCATAAAGAACACAATTTTGCAATTTTAAAATTAAAAAATCTTTTTAACTGACTAGCGTAGATATGCTCTATACGACGCGCGACTCCTCATCTCACGCCACATCTCCCGCCAGGGCTGGTAACTGCAAAGGTATCTAACCGGGTGATAAAACTTTCATAGATTTCTCGTATATGGCGCTACGACTAAAAAGTCGTTGAAAAACCAAATACAAAGACACGGCAGCAAGCACATAGAAAAATTCATGAAGTCCGCTAGTTCGTTCCGTGGCTTAGTTGGTCACCCTCTAACCCACCGCCCAATCCAGCCCCTAATCCATCCCCTAACTCACTCACCCGCTCACCCACCCCTAACCCAACCCCCAACCTACCCCCTTTTTTTTGTTAAACCGGGTGAATCTGCTTACAGATACCCCGGCCCCGCGGGGGCAGAGCCATGGGCAACGAACTCCCCCGAGTCCGCTACCCAGGGGCCATGGGGGCCAGGACAGCATCCCTCAACTGTGAAGTTCAGTGGCTGCTCCCCCAGCCCCCGCGGCGGATCTGATGACTGATGAAATCGATTCTAAATTTAAAGAGTTTGTGATTGTTTAGATTATTTTTCGGTTCATTGATGTTCAGGGGGCCTAAAAGGATAAATCGTGCAAGTCAGTTAAAAGCAATTTACAGTTGCAATTCTGTAGCAATTCCTCTTATTTTCGTAAAATTGTCCCACATTCCGATGAATTGTATCCAATTCTTTTAATTTTGATTTTATAATGATACTAAATATGGAAATGAAACTATTTTTCCGTATTTAAATCGCGTATATTTGTTTTTTCAAAGGTTTGTTTGAAAAAACAAATATACGCGATTTAAATTCGGAAAAATAGTTTCATTTCCTAACAATCGCGAAAACCTAAGAACTCGATATATGAAATATGGTTTGTTACGAGAATTTAATGTAAATAAGTATGTTCATCAATAAAACAACTACATAAGTCAATATTTTTTCCGAGAAATCGAAGTGACTCGGTGAAATTCGGCGATTAAGTGCTTACAACATTATTAAAAAAAAATAGCTTGAAGACGTAACTGTTTTCAGAACGTTTCGGAGTAACTCAAAATTGCATTTTTTTTGGAATTCTTGCGAAAACAGTACTTGAAATATCTTTTGTCATATTTTGACTCAATTATGCTAATTATTGTTTGTTTGTTGTTTCGTTGATCGCATTCAAAGTTACATACTATCGCCTTCTTTAGCTGTCAAATTTGGCCTCTTATTTAAACGAAAACGATGGAGCAATCGCATAGATTTATTTTCGCTGTTATGAAAACATTTTATATCTCGTTTTTCTCTCTAAGTGGGTTTTAACTATACAAGTGTAATTTATAATTCACGATAAATAAAACTTCAAGGATTTTCTAAATTATACTTTTCCAATTTCTCGGGATTTTTTCCGGAAAAATTTCCACTATTTGAAATTTTTGCCGAAAATAACCCAACAATACATAATTATGATCACAACCTATTTGTTGCGTCTACTGTACAGTGTTCAGACAATAAAATTACGTAAAAAACTGTTATGTACGGGGTGAATAAAGAAATCAAACCATTTATTTGGAGAACATAGTTTTTATTGGTGTTTGTTTATTCATCATGGCCTTGAAGACATTTTGAAGTTAACGCAACATTAATATTGCACCAATTTTCTACGGAAATATTACAAGTTTTACAAATGATTAATATTTAAAATACGTACAAAGTTAAAATATCCATTTGAGAAAAACAATCGATAGGTCTAATCAATAAAGTGTTGCAACACAAACATGCTCGATTGTCAAATGTCAATAATAATAATTTTACATTCGGACATATCAAAACTATATCTTTTGTAGGAATTTTAGTAGTAGTAATTTTCTAAGAATTTAGAAAATTAAACGTAAGTTTAATTGTACTCATACACAGTATATTCGTCACAAACAAAAATATTATTACACTTCCACTACTGCCGTAGTAAATAAAATAATTATTTTTTTTATAAACAATACATTCATAACGATCAAAATTGGCAAAACATATCGTTGATTCACGTCATTGTTTTGTATATGTTATAACAATTTTCACAATGACAAACTATTGGCACCTCATAGAAAATGTAGGCATGACACACTTTCGTTGCTGTCTGAGTATAATTAGTCTCTATTTCTGTTTGGCAATAATAGATAAATATTAGGTGAGTCAAGAACACACTAAAAGATTTAAATTCAACTCCATGCCCCTAACGATGCTCGTCAAAACATTGCTCTTAATTTCAATATGGCGCATAAAATAATTTACCGCCCATAAAAGTCTAAACTAATAATATAAAGTATTTTTTTTCTGGCAGCTAGGAAATTAAATCAATAGAGTCAAAGTCAGTATATAGTGAGATATGCTGCCGTTTTGAAAAGACGTTTTTTACCTCAAAGACTTTATAAAATATACAACGCACTAAACAGTTCCGGTTCACGGTTAATGGCTAAATTTCCGTTTTACAGATCTTGAGTATTTCAAATCGCTGTAGTCAGCAATGTAAAGAGGGCTATAATAAAAAGTAAAAACAAATCACTTATACTATTTTGTGCCATCATAAATGTTAATTGCATATTTAAAATTGAATTGCGCAATAATACACAATATAAAAGAAAAATATATTGTGCTAAATACAGTACTCCTTAGAGAAGTATATAAAGCTAAATTTGTGTGAAAAATGAAACAACTCAAAGTTGTTGACTTTAGTTGTCAGTTTGTTCACCACGAGTGCACCACAAAATCCAATTTAAAATATGAAATCTCCTTTTCTAGAGAAAAAAACAATAAATAAACTACTCGCAACGACAGGTATATCTATCACAAATTAGGGTGTTGTATAGTTGATTTTTCTAAACAATTAAGTTTAAAATCGTGTCTAGAACATATTATATACAATAATCTAATCTCAAGTTTTGTAATAAAACTCTGACATAAACCGATCACAGTTTTATAAAGTGAGTCCAAAATTAAATCCTTTGGTCAAAAGTTTAGACCAGACTTCGATCAAGCTTCAATTTCGGAAAGTATAGTTAGTTGATTATTCTGATGTGCACCTTTTTTAAAATATATGCTAACCTTTTCACTCTCTGTTCATTTTCATATTTTACTAAGGTATGTTTTATTTTTATTTATAAATGCACATCATTATATGAACTTACCTATAATAAAATTACATACAAAAAATTAAACTAAATAATCAATTATAATCCAAAATGGTATTAAAAATACGATACTTTCAGTTGCTTATCTTCCAATTAAAATTAACACGTCTAACACAATGATGATTTTTTTATATATAATAATATAAAGAATATTTTAGTTACAATGTTATAACTATACACTATTGTACATAAAATACTGTAACAAGATACATTATTTAATCTTATTACCTGCAGTCCCATATGAAGATCCCTGGCTGATTTTCGACATGCCAATGGACTTTTGCAGGAGAATGTAAACTGGAAAGTAAACAAAAACTCAATAAATATATATAAATATATTTTTTATGATACCAAGTGACACGGGACGAACAAGTCTTGAAAGTCAACTGTGCCTGGTGGTAAGCGACACGACTGTTCATAAAAGTTGCAGGGTCGCTCAGAGCTATTAATCGCAAAGATCTGAGGGGCATTGCGCCTGTCACCTTGAGACGTAAGTTGACAAGTACCCTTACCCTCCAAAACCGGAACGCAACAATGTGAGCATTACTGCTTGGAAGCTGCAAAAATAGTTAAGGTGGCAGTACTTCCCCTAGACGAACTCTTTCAAAAGGAGCTCTACTAATAAAATATATAGGATTAGATTTGTAAGTTCGGTCGTGAATATTTTTGCACTTTGACAGTAATAATTGAGATTATGCCTGTTAGCCAAAGATTACGGCTATCATACGATAGAACATTCGTGAGTTATTATTGTGAACACCCTCGCACAAGTTTCTGAAGTATCAGGTGAAACTCAAGGCCTGGTTCAACTAGTATCATATAAAATTAGCTTAACCTCCTAAGACTCATCAAAGTACAATGGAAAAAGCGCTAAACGCCCAATGTGCCTTAAAATGTACTAAATAATTTGCATGCTTCAGGCCCAAGCAATAGGTACTTGTCCTCTGTTTTCATATGTAAAACATATTTTTCCGGATATCCTGTCACATACAATACATAACGCTAAATTTGAATGTGATATTTTCATTATAATGTACACTGGGCGTTTACGTGATTATATTAACATATTACATTTTGATGCATACGGGGTCTAGGAGGTTAATAAGGATAATTTATATTAAGAAGTGAAGGGCTAAAAGAAGTAGAACTGTATGCTGCCGCCGTTAGTCGAAAAGGCGTTTGTGACATAAACAATAAAACCAGGGAAAATAAAGTTTACAGAAAAGAAATTAAAAAAAACCTACTTTCCTCCTGCGGTAACTTCGTACGTTATCCCCTTAGGAAAACAATAAATATGATGACAGATCGGCCTTTTTTTACTCATCACGGCAGTACCTATACATACTGTTGGGTAGTTTCAGAAAAATTGCAAACAGTGGAAATTTTTACGGAAAAATTTTAAAATAATGGAAAAATATAATTCGTTAGCTCATATTATGTCCTTCGTCTAGAAATATCTTTTATTGAGCGTGAATTATAAAATAAAATTATATACCTAAAACCTTATTGGAGAAAACCGCGATTTAAAATCATTGGACAACAGCGAAAAAACCTCTAAAGTGGCTACACCGCTTTCGTTCAGTAACTTTTCAAGACTTTTGATAGATGTCAACGTCAAATGTGGCAAAATAATGGAAAAATATCCGGAAAAATATTTATTTCTCTGAAAAATACATTGACTTACAATTATATGGACGTCGGGTCCGCGCTAAAAAGTGTCCGCACTTGTAAGGCGCTAAAATCGTATACAGAGCGCGACACTCCGCTTTAGTCTTCATTTGTTCTACGGACAGCGCGATACTGCGATGACATAACAATTTAAATTTCGAATAGGATGACTTGGGACATTTTTTTCGTGGTTTTTGTATTAGACCCGTCGTCCATTTATTTGTAAGTCAATGGAAAAATATGATTATTATCAAATATCAAAATGGAAATTTTTCCATGACCCAATACTACCTACACATACATTTGTTTTATATGTCACATGCGGTCTTTCAACGATTGGCGGCAGTATGTAGCTAGTTATAGGTAAAGTTTACAAATTCAATTATAATTTTTTGGTATTTGCTCCATAAGAGTATTAAAAATACTTACACGCAGCCAATATGGTACACCCCAAGGAAAAATATAGCAGTTTCCCGCTTAGGAGGAGACACAGCAGGTAGTAAAGCATTGGTGTAAGAGTGACCACTGCCCAGCCTAATGTGTTGATCAGTGAATAAATGCGCGGCTTGGATGGGAACGGTTCTACTCTCTCCACACCAGACTCCAGGAAAAAGTCGCCGGTGTTTAGAAACGAGTCTTGCATTTTGTCCTGAAATGGAGATTATGATAAGTAAAAATCAAACAGTGGCTAACCTAACAGTAGTGAAAACGCTTGCGTAGTAAGGATTAGTTCGATCCCCATAACGATATTTAAAAACTCCTATCACTTTCCTTAATGGCCAGTTTGCACGAGGCCTTTTTCCCTACCGCTTAACTGAGTCGGTTCCTGAGGTAGCTGCGCGGTATGGGAGGAATGTGGTGACGCGACTTGAGGGCTCAGTCACACCTATATGATTATACTAGTAATCTATCAAGATAGTTTACAAGCTTGGTTACCTATCTCAAGCTAGAAAGAAACATGATTCACAGAATTTTGTTTCTCCGAAAACCTTTAGACTTTTATTGAATAGATTTTGTTTCAATTGTCCGAAAACACTTTGGGGAGTTTTTCATTACACCATTTAACGTTTCACTATTTTGACATATTGACAAGTTATTCCTTTCCCGATTTTTATTTCCCCAACAAACCGTTTGACTATTGTATCTAATTGAAGTGTCGCTCGCTTCGCTCGTCCGAATCGTGCTGCTTTTTCATATACTAACCTAACCTAAACACCTACAGGAGGGGGTGGACCTATGAAATGCTAACAAATTCGTTTCTGGTACTCTCCTCGATTCAGTTTTATGTTATTTATTGAATACTCAATACCATTGTCTTTAAATTACATTTCAGATGACACCAAAAACATAGCACAATGGTATGACGAAAATTACATAAGTGGACTTACTGTGCACCAGCAAAGTACAGTTCAGAATTTTGGAGCTGTACGGTAAAATTGTATGCCGGTACAATTTTAGATTAGAATAATACTTTTATCGAAACGAATTTTCAGCAATCTAAATTATATAAAAAAATCTAAATAAATTATATAACAGACAGTATAACAAACATGGTTAAACCAAACAAACTTCTGCCCAAATAATACATGTGTGTAATAATCATTCTAATAATAGGTTTTCGGACAAACGATACTTCTGTTGGAAGACATTTCTGTGTTGCAAATTTATACCAAAACTGTCATCGCACTAATGAAAAAAAAGTCGAACCGTTTTCGGAGTAATGAAATTAGGAAAAAAGAAATTCGAGTTTGTGGTAGGTTACCTATAAGCTTCAATCTATACGGTGCTAGTTTTAACTATTTACGTTAATTACAAAACGGTTAACAATTGATATGCAATTGGTGTGCAATTTGATATCACAGTTAAAAATATTTATGAAACGCCAGTGTTCGTGCCAATAATAAATATATGTAATAATAACTAATATTTAAAAATATGTAACGTATTAATGAGAAACATTGAATAATATGTCGAACCGTTGTATCAATAATTTCAGCTCATTTATCAACCAACGTGTATTCGCTATAACCACCTAGATTCCTAGCACCATGCAAACAAGGCCAAGCTAGGATCGCACTATCTTACTATCCTGCTTTGAAAACTACGAAAGAAAAAGAGTAGGAGAGAGTTAATAATTATATTTTTAAAATATTACAACAAAATTTCTTGCTTTTTTAATATTGTAATCCGTATATGGCTAGAGTGGAGGAGTAACTATAAAAGACTCGTGTTTAGATTGGTCCGTACGCGTCAAGCGGCCGTGTAGGCGCCAGACCCAAATAGAAGATGTAAAGGATCCCAACGAGCTCGTAAAATTAAAGACTATAATATATTGGCAATAGGTTACTGGTTTACAGCAGTAGTGCCATTCATCGCTAAAGTGAACGTCTGTTTTGACCGTTTTTAGTTCGTACAATAAGTTCGTTAAATTGTAGTAGGGATGAAATAACATGTATATGGTAATATGTGTATGCTAGAATCCCCGGCCTACTTAATGTGCCCTTGAAGAGCGTTTACTTACTGCTTCGAAAGTTATATTAAATTTTAATACAAAATTCTGTTGCATTCGCAACAGAACCTGAGATTTCACACTTTAGATTCAACTTTATGACGCTTCGCATGTGATAAGAACGGTCCAAAGTGTCAAGATTGATGTGAACATGATATGGGTGTGGTTGTGGTATAGAGACAAAATAGTGGTGCATAGGTAAGTCGTAGGAAGGTAAGTAATTTCATACCGGTACTGTGCCTGTTTGAAATAATTCAATTAACATTCAGCTGCAATTACCTTGTTATCTCTTCTTATCTAATCACGAAAAACAAAATAAGGTCGTAGTAGTAATAGTATTCCAAACTTCACGGAACCAGAATACAAGATAAAAAAAAACGAGACATGGTTAATTATCGACGCGATAATCTTGACTATTATTGTGCATCAACCTGATAACGACAATGGATCAAATCGACGCTGTACAAATGCAACATGTATACGAGTTACGTAAGATACCTGCAGCTTGATTTCGATTACCTCTCCCGATCGGAAACTGCGTCTTTTTCGAGTCGAGGCGCATAATTGCGATTCACAACTGGCCGATCGGAAACTTTGACATTTCTGATCGGAACAATATTTGATTTAACTCACAAATTCGAAAGATATAGTAGGAATCAGGTTCATCTTCTCGCTCAGAAACCTATCTGACTTCGAGACTACCCGACCGGATCGATTCCGATTTGAATCAAAATCAGGACGCTGTTTTATTATTCTAAGTAGGACCAGTCAAACGTAAAGTTGTCAGATTATATCCTAAAGTAGGACATAGCTTCCTTTTCTAGTCATTGTCCTCCTTGGCAAACTTTACATACGTCTTTTTTACTTTCTTTGTGATGGCTTTACTCAAGGCCAACTTCCCGGCGCATGTATTCCCTCCCCTCTATAACATCGGGTCCTTCAAACGTAGTGTGAAGAAGCATTTGGCCAGACCGGCAAAATGATAGTGACGGAGTGAAGATATTTGTGTTTTCCATCCGTTACTCTCATCTCTGGACTGTATTCGCACTTTCCATCAGGCGCGGTGCAGTCATTTTGCCGAGTCACAATAAAAAAAAAAAAAAAAAAAAGGCCTCGTTTGCGATTCTCACGTGTTACTTGAGTACTTTTTAGTTTATTTATAATTTTTTAAAGAAAGCCCCGCTCTAGGAAAACCGTGTGTCGCGGGTGCCATGGACACACACAGACAACCGCAAATTACACCAAAACTCACGAGAGAAATCAATGTCGGCCATTCTAATATTTCTCCCGGCCCCGGGAATCGAACCCGAGACCTCTGCGTGGCAGACCAGCATGGTAACCGTTCATGCACTTGGGAGTTAAGCTTACACTCAAGTTACAAAGACCTATAAATACATCCCTTATAAAATAACATAAGTACATAACAATATAATAAAGAGTAGTAATAAGAACTAGAGTAATAAATAGAACAATAGAAGTTTTTGAACGGTCTAACATAATTTTTATATTGCAGCTCTTGTTTTAATATATATTCTTCTTATTTTTTATCCCTAAAAACAATTTTAGGTACAATCAACTGCTTTTTTTGACGTGATAGCGTCTCGTAGTGGGTTCATCGAGTCTGGCGGGAACTATTATAATTTTACTATTAAAGTAAACGCTAATCTTGTAGCGACCATTAAAAATCCCTACGAATTAAGCTACGGAGTATCGACACTCGGTTTTTATCTGCCGCTTTGCTTAGATATTCTAAGAGCCCGTTCGTCTCATGAGCGCCGCAGTGCGAGCGGTAGTATGTATGTCAAATACAAACAATGACATTTGCTTAAAGCCCAGCGTCAACCGGAATTCACAAGACGAAAAAACTATGCAACTCAAGGTTTTTGAGGAAATTAACGCAAATACTACACAATAGATTGGCAATGGGTTCACATCCAATCAACACGCCCGGGTTTATAAATGTCGGGTTTTAACCCATTTATGCCCAAAATCGTGGGCGGAAACGGCGAATACGGAATTTGGTATAATTCCATACTTATTACAAATTTAAGAAAAAGAGGCAACTCCAAATAATACTTACCTTGCAATCCTGTGAATTGGCACCACTAGGCAAAGGCACTTACTGCTACATAAAATATCGGGCATTAATGGGCTTTAACCCGATCAAAACCTGGCGTTAACAAAGCGACGGGTTATAACTCCGACCCTTGCCCGTCTCTGCGCAGATATGATTACGAGCATTTTTTTAGAATTGGGACAAATAAAGGCACTAACTATAGCAGCTTAAAATATGTATTATTATGTATGTTTTAAAAATAACATGTTTAAAACATACATAATAATACAAAAATAAAACGTAAATGATACATATGAACTTCACACATTAACATTTATTGTGTTCATGTAAAACGCGACCTGAGTTTATTTATTTATTCATTAGCAACACTACATTATGTTCACAACACACTTTTATCTTATTTGACTTGGGTGTTCTACATTGTAAACATAGTTTGTGTGTAACTATGACATTGAGATATTGGTACTCGCTTTGGACTTTGTACGTAATTCGCTTTATCATCTTTTGTTAGTATCTTTTTTGTTTAATGGGTGATTTATTCATTCTAATAAAATTTGATCCATCGCTACATCTAATCCAATGAAAACCTAGTCAGACATTAATTACGCTACATTCTTTCAAAATGTAACACTCGCATGGTATTGTAATGAAACTTATTTGTTTTTGCATTTTTGGTTTTTGTGTATTCATTCTGCATTTGTGCAACAAGATTTTTTAAGAGCCTATGGATACGACGATTTTTTAGGTACGTAAGACGCGCGTTTACGGCGCCATAGAGGCTCAACGAGAACGTATGTAAAATGATATTGGGTGCGACTGAATCCTGTTTGAATCGTGTTAACGCGCGTCATTTGCTCATCGTCCGCGCGCAAAAAACAGTAGTAGTGTGTGTGCGTAGACTCTAAGCGTTTCGTGCGAATAGGTGGCAAATTTATTTTTTGGACGTTTCCTGTTGTTTTTGTTAACAGCCATATTTATTTACTAATATTATGCTCCCCGAATTTTGAAATAAGAAAATAAAGAAACAAAATTCGAAAATAAAAAAAAACTAACTTTTCTGAAAAAAAATAAAGAAACAAAATAAAAACAGAACAGGTCCAAAAATTAAGATGGCGTAGTGTTCATTGGAGGTATCGATGTGTGTACTCCTGTCGCGCGCCGTGTACGGTCGCACACGTTCGAATAATATCGGGATGTACTCACGTAACCTACATAGCGCGGGTGTTTGCGCGCGCCATTTATTAATGAATTGAAGCCTGAATCGGTTTTTCAAAAATGACGCCACATAGTTACCGCGGTTACAGTTTTGTTTAGGGTGGTTTGAACACTTTCTAATTTTTAATAAGAATGATTCAAATTGACAACCCTACGATCCGAGTGTAGTGAAAGCATTTGCGCCAAACAGCTGGGAGCTACCCGTGTCTTATTACTACTACGATATTTACCTAATGTATAAGAGCTAAAAACGTGAAAATACATGGTATAGTACTTGAAATTGATTTTGTATTCTGTATTTTAAAAAATACTTGCCTTAGTCACAAATAGGTCATGGAGCCATTTGGCCGCCTCGGCTTCATCTTCAGGTACAGTTTCTACCGGAATTCGCTGGATGTATATATGACCATGCACTGGCTTGCCGTACAGCAGACTTGTTAGCGTTGGCGGGATCTTAACAAAATATAGCAAAATGTAAAAATTATGTATAATGATGTTTTTAGAAACCAATTTCTTTCATGCCAACACGTAGAGTATGTACACACGCCAGCCTTGATGTGCTGGTGCTACACATTGACGTATCTTGTTCCATTGCAATGGAGGCGATTTTCGAACAAAAATGTGTGGTCTGATGTGCCGTTATCCGTACATATACTAACATGTTCAATATCGTCAAGTGGGGTAACTTTGAATTTCCTTATAATTTGGAATAAAAGTGGTTTGAAGGTTTTTCTTCAGCAACAAACTTTGTAATCAAATACTTTGATAACTGTGTGAACGGAAATACCACGTATTCTAGATGTCAAATGTGACATAAGATTTGACAGATACATATAAATATGTGTGCGCGTGTGCATGCGCGTGCGCGTGTGTGTGAGTGTTATATTCTCGTTTATAAATGAATAATTAAGAATAAAATAGAAATAAACACATTATTCTAGCTTCTAGATACATGATTCCCTAGTTTAGAAGGCAGGGTAATCTTGTGATTGTATAACTTCGACTTATAAAAATATGAATTGTACCAATTTATTATTTGTGATTTATGAATAAACATTATTATTGTTCGAAATAAGATCCATTCAGTATTTCTTTTCTTATTTTCAAATCGTGTTTTCTCAATGCAATCTCAATTTGGAATTGTGACAGTGTTTGGTTTCATGTGCAATAACAACATAATTATGTAACTGGATGAACAAGTGCGCCTGGTGGTAAGCGACACACCTGGCCATGCCAGGACACAAATTATACATTAACGAAGTGCCATGATACATAATATATTGTTTGGTCAAGTGAAATCAGTGCTGTTAAATCGGACGCGATTTTTTTCGTTCATTGTTATTACAGAATGTTCAAATATTAACAAATTAAGTCACAATTCTTAAAAGATTAACCGTGAATTTAAAATAGATTAATCCAGTTTAAATAAGATTAAGCTGTTTATAAACATAAGCTTGAATTAAAAAAAAAATACGACTGGATTCAAAAATATATCTTTATCTAATCGTGCCGTAGTGTCCTCAACATAAATCTTATGATATTAAATATAATTTATTACTATCTAAACAATTCAAATATTCTAGCTTTTACAAATTTTTTAAACGTTTTATTAAAATGACCACACAATTTTCTTTCGCTCGTAAATGGGTCCATGCAATAGAGTCGGTTACGTTTACATTTTTTCTTTTTAAAACAACTAATAAAGCTGGCGTAAGCAGTGTTGTCTCTACTGACGCCATTGTGCTACTATTGAGAGTACGGGCCGTAGTTACCCGTTTCACAAACGCGGGTGAAACGCACATTTACGGCGCGTATGAATGTGTGAACATGTGCATGAGTTTACTGGCTTCGACTGAATCTCGTTTGAATCGCGTTAACGCACGTCATCAGCGCGTCCCCTGCACGTCGTCTGCGCGTGTAAAATACGCCGTGTGTATAGGCCCTTAGCAGCGATGCAAACGCCATCGTGCGTTCGTGAAACGAGCGATTGCATCGGTACACTTGCGATTTATAGACGAATGCAAACGCGCGACTGCATCGATACAGTCGCTTATGTTGGATAATCATGTACGAAAAATCTGTATAGATTTGTGCACAATATTTTCATTGTTAATTGTAAATTTAAAAGTTGAAGTATCTAGGCTGTGCGCGAGACCTAAGTTATTAGGGAGCCAGTAAAACCACGTATTCACACTATGATATTTATTGGATGACTGAGAGACACATACAGGCATACCCGTTTACCGACCGACATAATTTTATAATTATTATGACACTCACAGTTTCGTAAGTCCGTATTCTCGTCGCCACTGAAAAATCTAGACTATCTAGGCTGTGCCCGAGACCGAAGTTAGGGGGCCAGTAAAACCACGTATTCACACTATGATATTTCTTGGACGACTGAGAGACACATACAGGCATACCGACATAAACATTTATAACAAACTACTCACAAATACAGTATACATCAGAAAAGTGAAATTAATAAAAACATTAAATATATAAATAACTTAATTAAAGTGTGAATCGTGTTTGCATCGCGTTTGTATCGTATTTGCGTCGCAGCTAAAAGTGTATAACCGCTCTAAAGATAACGTTACTATATAGTCAGGGCATAACGACGAACAGTTTTTTTATGATATCAAGTAAAAGGAAGAATAATTCGTGCACCTAGTGGTAAGCGACACATAACAGTTGCAATGCCACTCAGAGCTTTAAATTGCAACGACCTTAGGGGCACTGCCACTACGCTTGCCACCTTGACACATAAAGTTGTAGCTGTAATTTCACCTGCACCCTTACCCTTCAAAACCGGAACGCAGTAATGCTCAAATTACTGCTTGGCGGCAGAAATAGGTAGATACGGTGGCAGTACTTCCCTGGACGAAGTCTTTCACAAGGTGTTCTACTGCTGCTACAATATAATGTTAATAATATGGAGCTGCGTTTTAGCCTTACCTTACTATCTTTATCAAAGGCCAATTGTATGTTGTAAATAGCTGGTATCTTTTTTCTAAAATACTGCAGGCTGGTGGTGAATCCTCTAGTACGAGGGGTGAGATGATGTTTCAATAAGGGTAGATTTTTCTCCTTTGCGAATTTCAATGACGCTTCGTGCTTTGTTTTTGTGAACCTTGTTCCTTCGGGCGTCAATAATAGCTGAAAAATTAAATTATCTTAGCGTTCATACAACGCGAGCCTACATTTTAGGTGAGGTGTGGGGGACCGCTTCTTGCGTTCCGCAACCCGTGAGCTGACAATTAATTAGAATAAATTAAGAACAGCCCGAGAAAATTTGACGCAGAGCCGTCGTCGAAAAGCACCCGATGGCGACTAACGGGGCAGCTGGCGGTGCGGCGTCTTTAAACCGCTTTTTTCAAATTTTGGGATAAATGTGAATGTGCTAAAAATATTTTTAATAGTTAATAATGTAATATTTTTGTTTAAATAACATTCAATATTCAAAATGAACACGTAAGTATTTTACGTATCGCACCTAACACCATTGTTTATAATGGCCGGACGTCATAAAACACGTAGTACGAACCAATAATATTATTAATCTTTAATACTAAAAAACATATTCTATATCAAAGTATCAGAGACAACGATAAGAGTTACTGAGTACATAAAAAATTGGTTTCTTCGATCGAGACTTTAATTCCGTATAAATAAATGTATTTATTCCGTTGTGTATTGGACTCATTATGTTTATCAAAGAACTGTAGCCCCCTTGATTAAGCTGTTATCAAACTACGACAGCTGGTTATAACATTATCATAGCTTACAATTAATTCAGTATAAAACATATAGATTTATAAAATCGTTATATTTAATTAAACTGCAATGACATACCCAAACAGGATCCGGATAATCGCCAATCTCTGATATCTGTTTCATAATAATTTCCTTATCTTTTTCGAACGACCTTTCTAGGAAAACGAATTCAGAAAATTTCCACATCCATCCTATGGGAGGTAGGTATTGTATAGACTTTTTCGCATATGCCTTGCAGTTCTGGAAAAAAAAAATGTTAAGTCTCAACAAAGGTGCAAGAACACGATCGCGACTATATGGATCACCCGTATTTCTACGCCTAGTGTAGACGATGCTTTAGAAGTAAATAGTAGACAGTTGTTTTGTTACATTTAAAGGCTTTTCTCAGCGTAGTTAACGTCATTCAATCAAAATAAAAGCTTTTCAGTAATGTAAAACATTTTTTACCTCTGAATACTTTTCTTTTGATTTGGTCAAAGACATTATTTTCGAACAGAAAATTAATACAGAAATAGGTTGCCAATTCTCATACTATTTATTGCAGGTTCAACTTTGCAATTTAATACATATACTTGAATTTGAAGAAAGCACATTAATATTGTGGGTAAATGATGTGTAATAAACATTAATAATTTAAATACCTCGACCAGGGGTGGGCAAACTTTTTTAATTAGGGGTCAGAAAAACAAATTTGACAGAAAGCCGAAATTGAAATTTGTTATTGAGTAGTGTTATTTTTGAGTGTCGATATCGACGAGGCTGTCAAAATATATTTTTTCGATGGCCATACATGCTTCTTTAAAAGGTAAGGTACTTGGCCAGTTTAAAGCCTTTCTCCTTATTTGGACTTGTTTTGGACTTACGTTGCCCAAAAGTGATCTAGATGAATATTTAATACAAAAGTTCTTACACCAAGTACTTGGATGCCGTCACAGAAGTGCCAACCCATCAGCCAATCTATTTCATAACTATGATTCATAACGAGATACCCGTGTTCTTTTCCATAATATTTATCGTATTCGTCTTTCTTTATATAAATTGATAGCGTTGAGCCTGACCACCATTCTGACATGAACACTAATTCTGAAAAAGAAGTGAAATTATATTAACTATTTACATCGTTATTTTATAAACCGTTGCATTACAGTAAGCCATATATGTATATTATAACGAAATTGACCAGTCGCTTTTCGAAGATTACGGGTTTGTATGTGTACTAGAAATACACCTGTATGTGTATGTTGTAAACACAGGTGTAAAATAATTTACTCCGAGGACGGCTTCGAGTCTCTTGTTTCTTAAACTTATCATTTCATAATTTTGTTAATAAAATTAAATTATCACTGAAATAGCATCATTGCCATGGACTAAAGTTGACTAACCACAATGGAAAGAAAACGCTCTAGTCTGCGGTATGGATTCAACGCGAAAGGCTGATAAAATTTTTATAACAGAAAAAATAACTCCATAACACAAAATCGCCTACAAAACTTGTTAGTTTTGCGTAGTGGTAGTGTCCATATCAAAATAAATATACAAAAAATCAACTTACGACTGTAAAATGAATACGCAAGATAGTAATTAATCTTCCTGTACAATACTTTATTAAATGGTTTCAATCCAAAATATAAAACGGCTTGAATAAGACTTAGTATCAACCCCGATGTAAAGTACGATATAGCAAAGCACAAATGTACAATTGTAGATTGCTTTATAACCAGTAAATCAACCATTTTGTATCAGTTTGGTCTTCCGTTTTCAAAATCTGAAACATTAATAAAAGCATTTAAATCTAAACATAGAAACTTTTTTTAATGAGATATTATAATTTTATTGAAAAGCTTCATATTATATACATAACTGTGAAATTATACAAATTACACTAGACTGAAAAGCATCAGAACCATCTCCTACTGTCCCGGTCTACTTCCCGGACTTCCAACTTTCCCGATTGCTCCACTTTAGCGATCGGTCCACTTTCACTAGGCACTTACACGTGTACTCAACAGAACAAGTGTAAATAAAGGACTTATCTTGACTTAACGTTCACTAGTCATTAATTAAACTAATGTCGTATTAATTTTTGTATCCACGTAACATGTTTGCGGATGACCTATACATTGCTGTTTGCAAAAGGTCGAGAATTGGTAGTAGGTAGAATTAGGAATAAACGATTGACTATCAAAAGCAATGATTTTATATACCTACCATAGATGATAAAAAGTGTACTAAATTGATTGGAACGCAATAACCTTCAAGTAAGCTTGTCTAAAACTACGTTTTTGCAATTCCTAAACCACACCAAAAATCCAGCAAAACCCTCCATAGCACATGATAAATAATTCCATAATAGAATCGAACACAACGAAGTAACTCGGCAACATGCTCGATATATATTTGACTTGGACAGAATCTATTGAGTCGGTCTGTGAAATACTCAACAGATTTGTATACGTAATTTACCGATTAAAAATATTTGCGATCAGAAAACTGCTTTGATAGCCTCCCATTACTGTTATGTATATTTAACTCTGCGGCATGGAATTGTTTTCGTTTAAGTGTTGTATATTTAACCCTAGAGCGTAACCGTTATCGGTTTAGAACTCTCTGTGAAAGAGTTCGTCCAGAGAAGTACTGCCACGTTACCTATTTCTGCCGCCAAACAGTAATATGAGCATTACTGGGTTCCGGTTTTGAAGGGTAAGGGTGCTGGTGAAATAATTTACCAATCGGCGTAAGGTACTCGCTAATTGTTGCCCAGTGTGGGCAATGATACGTTGTGGCAGGAGGCCCTTTACGTGTAAGCCTTTACGTTTAATCCCCCTTATGGTACAAGTTATAGTTACCATGGTATACACTATAACGCTTGCGATCGTGGTGAAAGAATTTGCCAATCGGCGTCA